TGTGGGTATGTCTCCGCGTTTTGTGTTACGCTAAATCAGAGATTGCTACTCTTAAGCACAGTTCAGACAAGCTCCATCTATGGTTAAGATCCCAACTCAGGATCCACCTGGAAGTTAACTCTAGTTTGTCACAAACTCTGGTTTAAGCCAAACACAGTGCTAGCCTGGAAATCTTGGTTTTGATGTGTGGGTATGTCTCTGTGTTTTGTGTTATGCTAAATCAGAGATTGCTACTCTTAAGCACAGTTCAGACAAGCTTCAATTGTCGCTAAGGTCCCAACTCAGGATCCACCTGGAAATTAACTCTAGTTTGTCACAAACTCTGGTTTAAGCCAAACAGGATGCTAGCCTGGAAATCTACGGTTTTTTGTCTGTGGGTATATGTCTAGGTTTTGAGTAACGCTAAACCAAAGCTTGCTACTCTAACCGCAATTCAGACAAGCTCCAACTGTGGTTAGGCTCCTCATTCAGGATTCGTATCAAAGTTAATTCTAGTTTGTGTCAAGCTCTGGTTAAGCCAAGCCTGGGAAATCTTCCTTTTTTTGGAGTGTGAGTATGTAGCCCCCGTTTTGTGTAACACGAAACCAGAGGTTTCTACTCTAACCGCAATTCAGACCATTCCGCTTAGCTCATTCAGAATCCACTTGCAAGGTAAACCGTGGTTTGTCACAAACTCTGGTTAAGCCAAGTTGGCTTGAGATTGCTGCACATATCAAACCGAGATGACTCTTCTGCGCCAACTAAGGAGAAACTGACATCAACCTCTTGACTCCAGGGAAAGCACAAACTCCAGGCCTTTCTGGGAAGCTCTCAATGATGGCTTAGCGTTACACGTGTAAACTGGGCACCCGTATCAGTATTAAAAATCCTAATTTTTTTCAGGAGGGGTATTGTGTAAGCTTCCACGTTGCCGCCTTTTGCATTCGATGTCTGCGTCAGGCCCGAAGGTGGGGGGGCAAAAATGCTACCTCGGTTTATTTCAAGCCAGCAATGCTGGTTTGTTCTCCCGGATGCCGGAGAGGGCTGCCTGAAATCTCTCCAGCCGACCCGGCTGGAATTTGCGAAGAAGCTTGCTTGCGTCTTGTAAAAAAAAGGTCCCCGGGCCGACTTCCTGGGCGGGTGAGGGAAGGCGTATGGTTTGTGTAGTCCTCGCAGTTTGGCTCGGAGCGTTTGCACGAACGAGGGAAAAATAATGTGCTTTTAATGTCTTGTAAATAGTCTTCGGAGAGGGGGGGGGGAATTGGAAAGGATGGGAACGGTCCGAAAAGATGATTTCTTTTGTGCAAATAAATTGCCCCTGGTTTCAAAGCTGGCTGGTGTGTTGTTGTTTTTTTTATTCCCTTCCCTATTCTGTTTTGTCGTTCTGTTCCGTTCCGTTCTTCCATTTCATATTTTCTCTTCTCTTCTGCATTCTCTTCTATTCTGCATTCTGTTCTATTTTTTATATTCTATATTCTCTTCTATTCTGCGTTCTGTTCTATTTTTTATATTCTATATTTTATTCTATTCTGCGTTCTGTTCTATTTTTTATATTCTATATTCTCTTCTATTCTGCGTTCTGTTCTATTTTTTATATTCTATATTCTATTCTATTCTGCGTTCTGTTCTATTTTTTACATTCTATATT